ATGTGGCCTTTAGTCACTACAATCTTGCTCCAAGTTGCCAAGAGATTGATACATCAGCCTCTTCTAAAGAGCAAGACGATTTTCATTTTATTGTTATCAACAGATTTGGAGGGTTCGTAGCTTTCTGGGACACTACCTGTGCACTAGTCAGCTTTCTCATTAAACTTTATCATTAAAAGGCTAGAGGCTGTTAAAGGGTAGAGTTTGGATAAATGGGTGTAGAAACACATACTAAGATAGGCTGGATTGAAAGCAGGTGGTTGTTTTGGCTTGGTGGCTTTTTGGTTTTGATTTTGGCTTTTTTGTTTTGTTTTGTTTAATTGTGGTTTTTTTAAATAATTCAATATTTTTCCCTATGGATTTGAAGCTGGGGTAACTTCTTTCTGGGTATTGTGCATAACTGGCTCGTGCACTTTAAGATGATAAAGGATAATGCTGCCTTTATAGTAAAGGGATAAGGCTTTTTTTGTATATTAAACTTAGTGTGTGGTAAGTTAACACAGGTATTTTCTAATGATAGTGTCTTGTTTTAAAAAAAAGGCTACAAAAATCTAAAAAGTGTGCACAGCACGTGCAAATAGTCACTGTTTACCAATAAAATTCTCCAGAACTTGTAGCCTCAGAGCTCTGAGTCATTAGTGAGTGTTGCTACTATTTTCTTTCCTCTTTTGAGAGCTGGCAACAAAGGATAATATGCTTTACTGAGTTAAGTCTGTTGACTTTTCTTGCAATAAATGCTTCCTGGAAAGCTCCTATTTTGGACAGAGAGTAGCCTTCTTGGAAACTGGCTGAGTTTTTAAGTCCTAAAGTCAGTTATCATACCTCTAGAGGTCTTTTTGTTTCTGTAGCTGTCAGTCCTTTTACCCAGAAGCAGCTTTGAATTGTATCTGAAGATAATGCCAAGTAAGTCTGGTTACAGAGAGTTTCATGTTGTTTTGTCTAATTTGATGCACTACTAAATGTCATATAAACCTGAGAATGTATGCAGGTTTGTGGTGGTTTGACCTTGGCTGGATGCCGGACGCCTACCAGGGCTGCTCTGTCACTTCCTTCCTCAAGTGGACAGGGGAGAGAAAATACAGCAAAAGGTTCATGAGTTGAGAGAAGAACAGGGATAGATCACTCACCAAATACTGTCACAGGCAAAACAGACTCAACTGGGGGTATTGATTGAATTTGTTACTAACAAAATCAGAGTAGGAGAATGAGAAACAAAATAAATCTTAAAAATACCTTCCCTTCACCCTCCCTCCTTCCCAGGCTCTCCCTCCTTCCTCCAAGTGTGCAAGGAGACAGAAATAGGGGTCACAGTCAGATCGTCACAGGTTGTTTCTGCTGCTGCTCAGGGAGAGGAGCTGACTCCTTCCCCTGCTCCCCATGGGGTTCCTCCCAGATGAGACAGTCCTTCAAGCACTTTCATTAATTATGAAACAAATTACAATGCCATAATTTCTATTTTGTTTCTTGAGAGAAATTTAAGTGTATGAGTCCTTAAAAAACTTGTATTTCCTTTATTAATTTATTAATATTTTAGGGAAGAGTGATGCAGGAGGGTGGCAGAAGTATGTTAGCCTGGGGCTTTGACAGCATGGGAAAGAGGAGTTTTATGCTGAAAAAGAATAAGTCTCTAACACTAGGGAAACTCATTGTTACCATGTCCAATAACTGGAACCTTAGACCCTCGACTTGACTTTTAATGCAATTAACTTGTGAAGTGCCACTCCTACAAAAGAACCCCAACAGAGTATATAGGGCTAATTCTGCTCATCCAGACTGATTCTGTCTTCTATTATACTCCGAAACTAAAGAGTACAACTAAACCAAGCATTTTTCATCTTAATTTGGTGGTTAAACCAATGTGTCCAATTTCCCTTTCTCTGGCTGTTACCAGTGTGACAAAAACACACAATCAGTATTGGCTATTATTGTCTCAGTTTGAAGAGACTGGAATGTTTGCTAAAGAGGATGAGTTATGAGACAGACCAAACTCCTCTCTCTCAGCAATTGTAAATTCAAAAATTAAGGGGCTTTAATCGAGGAAATGTGGAAAAAAAGGAAGAAATAACAACTCTTTATTAAAACATGTATGTATGTTGGCAAGAACAGTAACAGAACATAAAACCAGCTACCCAACAGTCCTGTGCCCAGCAGTCCCCTTCAAACAAAAGAAAGCCTGAACACTTCTCTGTCCTTCAGCGCATCCTCACCGTGGCCTGCAGGGGGCGCTGTTGGGTCACTGGAGGAGCAGAGCCTGCAGTGCTCGGTGTTGGCCTGCAGGGGGCGCTGTCGGGCTCTGCGGTCACCATGAGGGAAGGGGCTCTGGGGGGGTCTCGGATCGCGGGAGAAGCTGAGGAGAAAATGGGGACCCTTCCCTCAATGGGAGAAGGGCAGAAGGAAAAGCAGTCCACCCCCACAGGACTCACTGTTGTTCTCAGATGTCGGCACCTCAAGGCTCCTCCTTTTCTCCCAATGAGCACAGAGGCTCTCCGATGAAAATGCAGCAGGTCTGGGCTGGAGACAAAAGACAGCTCACAGGCAAATTGAGGCCAGCAGTCAGGGCTTGACCAGGACAAGAAACCAGAAAGACACACCTCCAGGCCTTCTCTCCAAATGCACGCCCGCAGACCCCCGTCTCCGTCCGAGAGAGAGAACTCAGCAGTCCGATCTCTCCCCCCTGAGGAGTGCCAGCAGCCCCCCCAGAACTCCTCCCTACCTTTCCCCCAGCCTCCGATGGGCCATTCGTTAGGAATGCAGCTTGACTGGCTAGACCTTTTGTAATGCTAATTGCCTCCCTTTCCATTCAAACTCCATCTTTCCTACAGTGGGGGCAGGGGGAAGAAAAATTCTCCTGGATTTCTAACCTACAACAATTACTTAAAAGCAATCACCCGTTTAACTCTGAATAGAATAAAAGGGCACTATATTATCTTATGTCTTTGTGGAAACCCTGCATACTTTAGGGAAAAAAAAAAACAAAACAAAACATTTTTTGTGTTATTTGACTGTGTACCTAATGAAGCAACTGCTAGCAAGCAAAACTACCTTTATTGATGGTCTTTAGAGAATTCTGCTGCTCAGGTGGGATGGAGATTTTACACTCCTACTCTTAAACGTATGCAGACTTTTTTTCAGAGCTGAATTATCCAACTTAAATTGTGATGGTCCTTCAGCACTCAATTAATGGACAAGCACAATGTTCTGCAAGGCCAACCCACCTGAACCTGATATTTGACAGATTCTTAGAGAGGCAGTTTTAACTTCCGAAGGACATTTTAACTCCTGTGTTTCAGCTGTGTCATGAGAGGGAAACTGAGTCAACAAATAGTGTATAACCTTAAATATGAATGAAGAAGTGTTTGCACCGTAACACCCTGTTTTCCTGCTCTGAATCTTTCAGATTTACTATTAGATGGCTTATTTTGTATAAAGAATACAGATATTTTAACAAATAAAAACTAACCCAAAATAAGCTTTATTGCAATTATTGTATTGTCTTACTGATACAGACATTCAGGAAAAACATTTTTTTCTTACAACATTTGATTAAAAATGTAGGAAGTTTCTTTTCCTTTTCAAAATCCCCATACTCAACGAGAGAAAAGAAAAATCACTGAGTTTAACTTCATATAATCTTTGGTCAGCACCTACATGAAACCGAAACAAATCTTGAATCAGCATGTGCTTTGGCTATTTCACATATGAGATTATGTTACATGACTTAGTTACAGGCACCAGCTGTCAAAAAAAAAGAAGCACCATTGAGACCTACACTTAACGCATAATGGTACGAAACTTAAAACAGAAAAGAAATTACTACAGTAAACTAAAACTCAACTGATTGTACAGTCACCCTTCTTACAAAATAAGTTCTGATAAAATGAGGCATACGGTGTATGACTACATCATTAACGAAATTTCTAACAAATGAACTTCAAAACCACTTTTTCCTTGGTCTGTGCTGCATAATTAGTTTGCACACATGGCACTCCTGAAACAGCTCTCAGGTTTTAGCAAATGCACCATCATTTCCAGACAGCACCAAACAGTATGAAAACATTGTGTGCTCCCTTCAGAGAGACATTTTCTTCAGCTTCCTGCAGTAATGCCAGTTTTTAGAGCATCCTTTCTGAGAGTGAGGTGTGGTTGCATGTGTGGCTCTTTGAGGTCACTGGAGGAAAGTACAGTACAATTTGGTTCTGCAATTCTAATGGTATTAAAAATAGACAAGGTATTTTGTTACAGGGGTTGTGGCTCTTCCACTATTTGCTGTGGCTTATGTGAAACATGATCTCTGCAGAGACTGATACTGTAACACTTGTCCTCTATGACTCTCTTTCATTTTTCCCTTTTTTTAAATACTCAAAGTTTTTCAAGAGCATTTTAGAATATTCAGAAGATGTACTACAGTGATATTTCAGCTCTGATACATTTTAATATTACTTATATACTATTTGGATGACTGGCCCAAAAAGGAAACATCTTTCAAATCTGTTTTTTTAGGAAAGTACCTCTAAAATGCTATAGCTCAAATGTATAAATCTAAATAAAACCAAGCAATTTCCCCCCCTTTTTTACATAATTTGTTATTTTCTCCATATATTACTGCATTAAAAATAAATAACCTCTATTTTTTTAATTAGGAACGATAGCAAAATACCCAAAGTGTTACAGACTGCTAACAGGAAAAAAAAGAGCTCACATTTTTGTGCCATTTAGTGCCATATGATGACTTCTTGAACTTTAGCACTTTAATATACTTTAGCTGAGGTTATATGAAAGATACAGTAAACATGATTGCCCTTGTAATAGAAGTTTTGGCAGTGGCCTTTTGAGTTATCCTCCTGAAAGGGTGGTTCTGCAGTCTTGGCAGGGGGGGAAGAAAGGGCTCTTCCTCCCCTGGAGTTCAGTGGCTTTTCAAAACTTTGGAAAAGCAGATATTGTCTGGTGGGTAGAAAGGAGAGCAGAAGTGACTAAAGGACTGGGCTTAGTCTGGAACATGGCTAATAGAGCCACAGCCTCATCCTGAGCACTGCCTCCAGCACTGCCCCCAGGAGGTAGCTGTCCTTATTGCTCTCTTCCAGTTTCTTTAGCTCCTTCTTCTGGTGATGGAATGCTGGTGATTTCCAGTGTGTGAATGCCAGGCACTGACTTCCTCTTTGCCGTGTGCAAGTAGCTCAGCCCACCCCTTTGGTGGATCCTGAAGATCCCATCATCGTTTCCGTGAGAGATGATGTAACACACATGGTGGGTGGGAGGCTTGATGGCTGGCAGGAGTTCCAGGATATGCTCCTTGTGATCCAGCCTGGAAATATTGACCCTGATCCTCACAGGACTATCCATGTCCAGACTTCCCAACTTAGTCTGCTCCATCTGAAGCAAAGGAGGAGAGAATGTTTAGAGCAGGAGAAACAGATACTCACTTGCATTGAGAGAGGAATTGTTATGTGATAATTAGCAGCTTCTGCATTTGTCAAAATCTACCTGTGAAAGAAGCAACTGTAAATCCTTTCCACCTGGAAGAATGGCTTGTTCCATACAACACATCCAGTAAACCTTAAAGGCTTTTCACACGGGCTTAACAGGTTGAATACTGGGAGGCTCTGATTTCAAATTCTTTTGACAATCTGTTTAACTTCATGCTTGTAAAGAGCCCATATAAAGAAGCGACCTATGTTTACTACTGCAGTAAAGACTGTACAATGAGTCACAGCTTTGTTTTTATGATCCATCTCACATTTCCGAAACATATACCACGACACCATGGGAATTCCCTGAAACTTTCTCTGAGAATTCCCTGAAACTGTTTTAATGAGTCCTGCCTTCTAAAAACAAGCAGGCTCAGTATTTTGTGATGAAGAAGCACCATTTATGAAGGAAACTAAAGTAAGGAGAGAACTGCTGCATTGTCAGCCTTCTGCAGAGAGAGCCAGTGTGTCACGTTGTGCAGTTATGCCCTACTGGGACCACTGAAGGGAGCGTGGAAAAAGACACAGTACTGTGAATTTTCTGCCAAATCATTCACAATTTCTTTTTTAATTCGAGTTTCAGTAAAGTTATGCTGCAGTTGTGAGTGTGCCCAGAGGTGTTAGTTGTGAACACAGTGCAGTCCTAGGAAAGCCATTTAACAAGTAACAGCTTTTTAAAGTGCTTCTGCAAAAATCCCACATGAGTGCAACTGTGTACCAATATGTAATGCAGTTAAAAACATATGCTGAAAACAAGGAAAATTTTTGGAGAGGAGCAAGAACTGTAGTGTTTTAAATACTGAACCCTATAAATGTCAATAGTGATAACAGCTTTTCTTTTTTCACATAGTTTTATGGATGCAAAATCTGTCACTTTTACCACCCAAGCACTAGAAACTGACAAGGTTAATGTTATTAGAAAAGTGCAACAACAAGATTTAACAATTATGAACTCGATATGGAATTAACTGTGCAACAGAAAAAAAGGTTTTTCAAAATATCCACGAATTTCAGTGGTGGGCTGACCACAGAGTTCACACTAGAATTCAGGTTCAGTGGGAGTGGGTGGTAGGGAGGGACAAGGAATCCTTGTAGGAAGTTTGGATGTGTGTGGGGAAATCAAATATTTAAATTTTAAATTATATGTCCTTGAGAGAGAGAGATCCTTTAGAGCAAAAATTATAAGATTACTTTGCCAGTAGAAGAACTGGCTTTGATGGCATCATGCAAAGTAGTATGTACTAAGGCTGGAGCATCTGGATTATTTTATGCCCTTACCCTTTCAGAAAGCAGACTTTTTTCTCCGTCTTTTCAGTGTAGTTTGTGTGGGTAGCACAATTTACCAGTTTAGTTGAGGTTTTGCATTTTGCCTGTCTGCATTATACAGCTCTTTACCTACCTGTGTGTGTCCCCCCCCTCTAAACTGAGTTAGTTTTATATTACTGCATATTCCAAGACTACAGCTACAAGAGCCATCACACAGATTATGCAGCTGACAGATACACAGTATCTAAAAAAAAGTATCTAAAAGGTGCAAACAGTAGGTCTGTCCATTCATCAATATCCTATACCTTATCTTTAAAAGCCCACAAAAGGCAGTAAGAAAAAAATAAGTCTGAAGTATAGTTCTCTATCAGCCTCAGCAATTCTGCAAATATTGGACTTCAGTGTATCAGCCAGGTCATGGGCTCTAGTCCCACACAATAGTGAGCAACCATGGAACAGACACCAAGACTACAATGATCTGCAAGAGGGTCTGTTTGGCTGTCCCAGAGCATAAATGCTGTGCAATCTCTTCTTGACAGCAGAACAGACTGCAGATATGACCAGTTTCCTAGCTCTCTGTCATCATATAAAAATTATTTCCCTGAATGTATTCTGAGAACTAGATGACATACAAGCTTTAAAGACTTCATCCATTCATAGTTATTGCTGTGTTTTTTATTGTCACACTACTGCTACCAACAGGGCAGGGGAAAAAAGATTTTCACCACTGAATGTGGCCTGTTAAAAATTCCCTCTATTACTGATACTGTTGGTATCATATCTCTGGAAATACCTGAAAATGAAAGCACGTTACAGTGGTTATTTATCCCAGTACATACAGTGTCATTAGCACTTCTCTTCTTCCTGTTGTCTTTTCTGAAATAGCCATTGATTTTGCACTCATAACATGCTAGAGGGGACAAAACATTCTCTTCATCAGCATCTCCATCCAGTGGAAGGTACTGGCCTTTGTTAAATCCCATCCCTGAGACACAGTGTCTGTTGAATAAAAACATCTGTTTTAGTTACTCTTTGCAGTTTTACCAACTGTCCTGTTGAATGGAAAGTGAGTGTGTAATCTGTACCGCAGTGACTGTGTCCTCTTCCTTTCCCTTCACTCAGCAGGAGGTCTGTGCATTAATTTCCTTCACACTAGCGTGGCATATTGAACAAAATGCAACCACTGGCTGAAGGCTTGTAAGCTTTTCTAATTTTGATTTACAAGTTTTACGAAGAAACAGAAAAAGGCCAGCCTGCCCTGAACTTGAGAACTACAAAATTTACCCATTGTCATGTACTGGCACAATGCCAATTTGTGTTTAATGTTCTGGATTGATCAGTGTTACTTACAACCCTTAATTATCTCAGTACAGGTGGTAGCAGTCCTCACTGAGTAGGTTTGTGAAGGAGTTCATCTGCTGGTACTGGGGAAGAAAGCAGAACTCTTTGTTTACTGTTATATACTAGATTTAAAATGAATGTCATGTTGCATATACAGATATGTCTTTTTTTTTTTTTCTAGTTTTTGGATATTGTATGTAAAAGTAGAAAGGAGTAGAAAGGATGTCCTAGTTAGAACAGCTGGGACCAGTTCTTCACTGTGTGGGTGTAACCCAAAACTGTGTATTCTATAGCCTTCCATGCCATTTCCCAGAAACTGTTACCAATAGACCATTTACAGCAGCTGCCCAGAGCACACCTGACCCCTCAGGTTATAAGATGGGTGTTAAGAGGCCTGTGAGATAGGAGGATGCTCCTGTCCTCACACCCATTGTGGAACTCCCTGCCCTGAGGGAGGTACTGGGCATTTCTGCCCGAACCTGAGGATATATAATCTTGGGAGTCTTGGGACTTCTGCACCACTCCTGGGATCCAGAGAAGGACTGTGACCACCACTCTCAACCAGACTGAGACCACCACTCTCGACCAGACTGCAACAGTGCTCTCATCAACAGGTTTTCCCTCTCCTTTTCCTTTGGACTCAGGGGGCCCAATGAACACCACTCTGTTCATGCCCCAGGGTGTTGGGTTATACATTTGGGTTTTGTGGGTTAAAACCAATTGTTTGTCTGTATAATTATATTTATTGTATTATTTTTATTAAATTGTTATTCTGATTTATAATCTCTCTTTTGAGTTGGATTCATTTCCCCTGCTGGTTTACCTTTAAACCAGCACAAAGGACATAGCAGTTTGTCCTTCATTTGCACCTCTGCTCCTCAGACCAGCCCTCCTTAATGTGTCTCCGGTGAATGACTCTGTGAAGATACTTACCCTTGTCCAACTCTGTAATAGCCAGGTGGGCAGCCACAAAGATAACTCCCTTCAGTGTTGGAACAACCATAATTGCAGGGGTTCTTGATGGAAGAACACTCATTCACATCATGGCAGGCACTGGAGGACTGGTCAAAGGAAAACCCAGATGGGCAGGCACACTTGTAACTTCCAAGGGTGTTGTAACAAGAAGCAGAGCCACACGTGTTAGGATTGGAGCATTCATTTTCATCTGGTAAGCAAACAAAAATATATTGGTATCTTCTAATCTGACAAACATCAGGCAAGCGTGATGTAGCTAAGAAATCAGAATATCTGCAAGTCCTAGGCCTCTGCTACATCCCTAACCTCATTACCCCACAGACACTTGGTTTCTGAAGGAAAAGTCATTGCCAAAGGCCCCATATTTGTGTATCTGGGATGAAGAGGTATTTTAGCATACTGTTACTGTTAACCTTATAGTCACTCAATGTTCACCCTTCCTTCAATGTCTGTTTTGCTTAGGGGTTCTGTTTCCCGTCAGGATAGATAGGAGGGTACTGCCTTCTCATACAAGGTCCACAGAGGGGAAAATGGGCTGGAATTCCAGCCATGGTGGTGTTCCTGGGCACCTACTGATGGGGAGAAGTTTGCACATACTTTTTGTGAAACTTTCAGGCTCTGTGAGGGGAAAGCCAATTGAAGTAACCAAACAAATGCAAGAGAAAAGGAGTATCATCTTCACCTTGTGGGTTTTAAGATACAGAGAAGGTGACACCTCCAGTCAGTGTGACTGAATTTGGTTTCAGGAAGAAAAACAGCAGAGAGATTATTTGAGGACTATAATATTCAGAAACTGTAGCTGGTTTGGAGTTTTGTGAGAGCTTTTTGTTTTATGTTCTGTCACTCTCACCCCAGTCCTTTGCTTTCTTTGCTGTAAAGCAGTAATAAGTCAGGAGTGACAATGTTGGTTGGAACTTCAGAAAAACTTTCTGGTGTGCTACTTAATGTAAAATGTGTAGAATAAACTAATTTATATGTCTAGGAGCAGGATAGTAATATCAGCCTATATGAAAAGTATGGCAGTGCTTATATCCTCTGATTATATTACCATGAAAGCAAGCCTGAAAAGGTAAACATGCTGTATTGTTCTTTCTGAGCAGAACAGGATGGGAGTTTTTCACTATGTTCTAGAACAAGTAGCAGTCACAAGTATTGAGGTCATGTTGCTGAGAACACAGCTGTGCTGGGCAGGGCACATCTCCAGGATGAAGGACCACCACCTCCCTAAGATCTTGCTTTATGTGAACTTGCCACCGGCTGCCGCAAGAGAGGAGCCCCGAAGAGAAGATACAAGGACTCCCTGAAACAACATCTCAGCCTTGGCCATATTGATCACCATAACTGGTCTACTCTGGCCTCCAATCGGGAGGTCTGGAGACACACCATCTATAACGCTGCTGATACCTTTGAGAAAGCACACAGGATCACTCTTGAGGAGAAAAGACAACACAGAAAGAATCATGTCTTGCAGAATATACCACCTAGGGAGTCTTTCTGCTGTGCCTTTTGCAACCAGACATGTCTATCTTGTATTGGCCTTATTAGCCACCAGCGTGCTTGTAACAAATGTGGATAGAGCCTAGCCATGATGATGATGATGATGATGATGATGATGATGATGATTGGTTTTTATTAACAAAAAAAAAAATCCCACATTTCATTTTGTATTGCATTTAGCTGAGTTAATGAAACACAGAAAATAAATTAGCTAAATCTACCATAAAACTCCTGAGCATTTTTATTTGTCCCTGTTCCCTGCACAAATAACTAATATTGACCTTAATACTATATTTTGGAAGTAGACAACTCTTAATGGTTTTGTTGGTTTTTTTCTCACCATTCACTGTAGATGCCATTCTGTAGTATTCTCAAATTGCTAATAATGGTAATTCTTAATAGTGGAAGGTATGATTTTTAATTTTTTTTTTCTTCCCCCAGCAGAGGTATTCATGTTGATACTTTCAGGAATTCAATTAACATCCTTCATCCTCCTAAGATGGGGATTTTTCTACAAAGAAGAGAATTATAATTTAGACTTTACTAGGAAAGCTTCTTGTCTCACAGAATTTCAACAGGACAAGTGTGTTTTTTTGTTAACTCATGTCATTGATTTATGTTGGGAGTAGTAAATCTATGGAAGGAGGGCAAGGGAGATAAAAAAGATCAGTCTTTGCATACCCTTTGTTCTGTCCATTCTTGCCCTTGCCCAGTGTTGCCACTATAATCCCCATGATATCTTTGCTGCTTAAATATATTTTGTGCTGTTTGTTTCCTTACCAACACACTGATTCCACTGGTAATGCTGAATATATCCTTGTGGGCATCCACATCTGTATCCACCCAGGATGTTTTGACACCCATGCTGGCACCTATGGTTTCCATCACATTCATCCACATCTGTGTGATCAAGAGAGAATCAGAACATGAAAGAACACACAATTACACACATTGCCAAATACATTACTCACTTGGATCATAATCACTGGAACATCAGAATTTTTTTTGCCTCAGCTGATCCATCATATTAGAGAACTACACAGGGCCGAGCTTTCAGTTTCCTGGAACATACCGAGGTGTTGGAATGCTAAATTTGGATGTCTTTCCAACCAAAAAGAAAAAGCCGTCTAAAAACTCTCTGAGGTGTTAATTAAGGAGAAAGCCCTAGCTCAACTTCCCCAAATGTAAAAACTCAGACATCTGAAACTGTGTCCACTATAAGAAATAAGCAGATTGTAAGCAACCAAATTTGTCAGGTATAGTATGCAATTCTAGTAGAAAATAAAAAAAATCATGTATGGTATCACAGATTGTAAGTTACATTCCATTGTCCACAGCTGGAAAGAAATTTAATGGAATTGTAATGTCCCAGAGGCTGAGGTGTAGAAAACCATTGTGCCAAGAACTGAAAGCTGTCACTTTTATCAGCAATGCCATATAGAGCAATTTTGATGTGCTAGTTGTTTACATATCTTGTGAATGCTTTGATATATATAATTTTTGTGTTTCATAGGCACACAAAGGTATATGTACTTCATGACAACAAAGTAATCTAACAGGAGATAAATCTTTCTGAACCTTCTAGCTGCATATATCCTGCACTGCTATTCTAGAAATAGGCTCTATATATCAATTCCTATTTTAAACGCTGTATCAGAGTAGCTGCTATTTTGAGATCTCACAAATTTGTTAATGTATACCCCTGCATTTCTAATTCTCAGCAGTCAGATGGCCTAGTACTGCCATTTATTTTCTTCTTTGCTCAATACCTAAGGCCTACTGAAGAGTCTGTAGGTCTCAAATAGAGATTTCCCGACTGAGGCTCCCTTTTGGGCCAATACAGGGAGATGAAGCTCATCAATATAATTTGCATTTTGACTGTAATGGACTACCCTTCTGAGTATAGAGAATTAGCCTTTTGAATGTGTATCTTTGTGGTAGGATACCTAGAGAATTTAGAATCTAATCTTGGATACCTTCAGGTAGACAATTACAATTAGCTGAAAAATTGCAGACAGACTGTTTAGAAGTATAGAGACAAAAATAAAAAAAACCCAACTACTAGACTTTTAGGTGCATAAACCTACGTGAAGTTGAAATGGCGGGCTGAAAACAATTGTTCAAGAGTTCGGCTAAAAAGTGCCTTTTATTCTAATTTGTGTAAAAATTACTCAGGCAGTCATGTTCTTCCATATCCTTACACCATGCTTAAAATTACTCAAATGCTTTCCAATTACTTTCTGGTGCTCTGACATCAAATGATCCACTAGACATAGAAGTAAGGATTTGCACCATAAAAAATATTTGACCATTGCTAGTTACCTTCACAGTTTAGTCCAGTTGAATCTAGAGAAAATGCCCTTTGACACTCACAGGTAAAACTTCCAGGAGTGTTTTGGCAAATTCCTTTTGATCCACAAAGTGATGGATGAGAACCACATTCATTGTTATCTTAAAAACACAGAGGAGAGAGAAGAAGGTTGGTTTAACCTGTGGCATTATTTTAGACATGTTTATATAACAAGTTCTTAAGAGTCTGAAATCCACAGAGATGCAATATTTTATTTTGTAGCTTTTCATTTTTAAATGTCAGATGACCTGAAAAGTCATGCAGAGCTAGGAGTAATTAATAAATTGGAAGTGCAAGCTGTAATTCAGTTATGATATGAAAGACCAGTCATGTAATTGCTGATATTGGAAAAATGTTGCACTTCTGTGTTAGCTGAACTAAAATAGTTTCAGTTGGCAAGATTCATACAGATGCTTAAGATCTAAAGACATCTGTATCTATTAAGAAAGAAAATGCAGTCTGGTACATTTTAAATGAGATTTTAATAATTCACCCTTTTGTCTCCATGTGGTGATACTTAGAACATAATAACATGTATTAAATACGGACAACTGTTTACTAACCAAGAAAATTCAGACAGTGGACAGACTGGATAGACTGATTTTTTTTTAAGCTATAATTGTTGCTTTTCAAAATCTGTTTTCTGAATTCCTGATACTATTGCTCTGTATAAAGAGCAAAAGAAATAACAGAGTTGAGAATGTTGTTCTTACAGAAAAACCTATGAAAGAAAACCAATGTTTTTCTTACCAATACAACCTTTGTGATGTTGTGTAAAACCAGGTGGACATTTGCATGTGAAGCCTCCAAGGGTATTGACACAGAGAAACTGACAATTGTGTTGTTTGGTTTGACATTCATCAAGATCTGAAAGTAAGAGATGGTGTTGTCTTAAGAAAAGTCAACAAAAAAAGAGGCACATTTAGTCTAATTTGATAAAAAAATTACACTTCAAAACTATTTGCTTTTAAGCCAAGTTGAAACCAAATAAAAAAGTTACTGTGTATAACCTTCTTTACCTTTACATGTCTTTCCATCTTCCTGAAGGATGTAGCCCTGAGGGCATGAGCACTGGTAGCTCCCTTCTGAGTTCTTGCAGATAAAATTGCATGGTCTAGGAGACTGGGAGCACTTATCAATGTCTGAAGGGAGAAATTATTAAGTATCTGTTGTACTGAATTCCTCAACAGAAGGATATCTGCTGGACAGCAATACATTTAACAAATGTTCACAGAAAAAGCCTCTGATTCACACTTGTTCAGAGTTTCTATTCCTTTCTCTATGTTGCTGCGGAGTTTATATGGGTTTGCCTCTACCATGAAAAACTGTCCTGAGTTTTTTCATGTAAGGAACTAGTATTTTTTTTGGCATACTATGGTATATTTATACGTGTTAACCAGCAAAAAAGTGGGAAAATGTAGACCAAAGTCATGAGCTGGTTTGTCAGTTAATGTGGTTATACAACTGATCTGTACAACTTCAGTGATCATTCTACTGCAGGAATATTGCCAATAGAGTTCATTTCTCTATTTCCCCAAATCAAACGCAAAACCAGAAGTGCATGTTAGGAAAAGAAGGACAGAAACGAGATAAAACAGAAAAAGAGAAAAAAATGGTTTGCTACAAAGGTTTACAGAGGTTGATACATCACTATGTAAAAACCAAATAAATCTCTGGTAACTAAGACACTGAATCTTACCATCACAAGATGTGCCACCGATGTCAGTGGTGCGACCAGCTTTGCAGAAACATCGGAAGGAGCCCATTGTGTTAATACACTGTCCATTTCTGCACGGATTTCGCATGACCTTACATTCATCAATATCTGTACAGAAAATAATAAACATGTCACCTCTCAATTTTAAATTCAGCGTTTTTCCTCTTCCATTTTTGCAGAGTTCCTTATCACGGTGCTTCTGATAGGAGCTTTACCCCTTTTCCCTCTTTAAAAATGGATTCGAATCCAAAGCCAAACATCCTTCAAACTTTCATTACTCTTGTTTGTATCAAAACCTTCCTGCTATTTCTTTGTGTACTCAGGTCCCAGTTTTACTAACTCAAAATACAAACCCCACAGAAGTGAATTTTCTTATGACTGCTCATGTGGTCATAAAATTTTCACAACTAAAAAATGTACATTAGCTTCTGCTTCCTCTGAGGAAACAGTACCTGCAAAGTATTGTGAGAGTGTTGTTAGAACAACAGTTGTTGCTTTTGCCATGTATGCAACTTTTCAGCACACAAAAGCTTTGGGATAATTTCTAGCTTTTAGTTACTGTGGTATCTCCTACTTTAGAGATTCCAATCCTGAACATTCTGCACAGCCGTTCTGGTCGCAGCTACTGTTGAAATGTGGTTTTAATATCTGGTCGCTGAGCAGTATTTGAAATATCAAACTCAACAGAAAATTCTTCAAAGGAACTTCAAAGAGAATCCTTCATTCTCTTAAATATGTGAGCATATTCTTTTCCCCTTTTTTGCCTCTTTGCCCTGCCAATACCTCTTCCATCTGTGGTATAGCCTGGTCCGTGGGGACAGAGTTTCTTGTACTGGTTCTGGGCAGCGGGCATTGCACTGCATACACTGGTTCCCCCAGCCCTGGCCTCCATCACAGCAGCACTCAGATTTAGTGACAAGATTCTGGCTGCTGGAAGCCATCTGACACATTGTTTGTAGAACTTCAGCAAAGCAAAACCTTTGGTGATTATCTGTGAGGAAGAAGGAAAGAGATTAAAACAGAGAAGAATAGAAAATTATGCACCTGATGTATTACTGTGGCTCTCCGTCAACACATGCAAGCACTACAAGATTACTGGCTATCATGAAGACTGTCTTGATTTAACCTTTCAGATTTTTTTTTTGTATGCTGCAATTCCAAATATATTCAAGACATTCCTAATGTTCAGTACCTGCATGAGCTGGATAAGAGTTTTACTTCTAGGGAAGTTGAGCCCTGGGGCATATCTGATGATAGTAAGACTGGCTCAACAGTAAAACAGGCTGTGGGCCAAACTGAGCTTCCACTTAGGCTGCCCATGCTTTTACTTGGAGTGGGGTTAGAAGTCTGTTCTGTTTGTTTGTTTTACTGGACAAAATAACATCTGATCATCTCTAATTACCCTGATGCGGTTTAAATAATAAAATCCTCGTCACTAAAAAGTGTATATGCAAGTCAGTCCTTTTTCTGTGGTTGTCCTAGTCTTTGTTGTGGGGGGAAAAAAAAATTATGGTCCTACTGTTGATCCGTCCTTGTCTAATTCTATTTTATTTTTTAAGCCTTGTCAATACTTGTCAATAATGAAAGGGAAGCAAAGTTTGAAAGTCATGGAGCTGCTACAGGTTTCCTTCAAACAGGCAGCTGAGGAGAGCAGAGATCCCAGTTTCCAGTGCTAATGGAAACTGCAAATCTTGTGGAAATCATATCTTGTAAATAGGCTATGTCATGTCTTATTTGTTAATTAAAATGGAGACATTATCAAATATGGTCTGAAAATGCTTAAATTTTTAAATGAAAGATTAGCTCTGGAAGATAACATTCTAAAAATGAACAGAATTTCATTCCTACAAAGATAGTGAAAACTCAATAAATTGTAGATCGAAACTTTTAGGCCAAAAAAAGTGAAGGGTTTGGGGTTTTCTTTTGTTTAGTTAAAACATCCCATTAGTGCACTGGATTTGGTACAATGTAATAGCCTTTTCCCAAGTTTTTCAGCTCTGTGTCCAATAGAGATCATGAGAGCCCATGTGCCTTGAATCCTCTCATGACTTTCCCAGTAGTGGAAGGAGTCATCCTGACTACAGTGGAAAGTCTATAAATTGGGAAAAATTTATAATGTGGCTTCTTACTAATTTATAATAAGGCTTCTTACTAATGAGGAGCCTGGAGCTGGATTAATTTTAAAGTTCATATTTTCCCAAATGGCTTAAGTTATCCAGTTACATCTCTACACGAGGGCAGACACACAGAGTTACACATGCAAGTTGTGCCCATGTGCTTTGGAAATCCTTTAAACCCTCTTTACTGATATAAAATTGCCATTAATTTCTGAATGGTTAGTTCATGTAAACTGTAATCTAAGGCTCAAAACAAATCTGAGAAACCTTTTTACTGATGACTTAAAAAAAAAATGAAAAAAAAAGAAACACAGGAATATAAAGCAAGCAAATAGCCCAGCAAAGCAAGTTTATTGCTTAGCATAGCTCTATGAAAAAAGCACAAAATGAACTTTCACACTTATTCTAACAATAGCTATTTTTTTTCTAGGAAGAACAGAAGAAAAACCTCTAACTCACAGAATACATCTGGATGCTTAAGGGCAGAGGATATAGCAGGGGATCTCAAATCTCTCCTTAAATAAGAGAACTGCTGTTATAATAAAGAAGGTCTGAACAGTTAGTGTAAGATTTCAGCATTTACCTCTGAACACTGGAGCCTTAACTAGTTACTGACTGCAACTTTGATTTTGTCCTTTGTAGCCACTGAGTAACACTCGATCTGGTTCCATACCTAAAGAAGAGAAAGGAGCGAGCAGAGTACTTCATACCACACCATTTCTACACAATGTTTTAAATAAAAAACTTCATAAAAATAATGCAGTGTCTATTAAATAATTTCTCTGTACACAGTTTCTAACTCATAGGACACCAATTCCTTACATCCTTCCCAATTCATATATGTATTATATAAATGATGTAACTTCACTCAAATGGCCAGTCCCACTAGAAGTATAATTGTTTGAAGGACTAGTTATAGTTATATCCTATAAATCTAATACTGAGTGATTATGAACACTTAATTAAACAAACAAGCATGAATAAAGCTATGGCTTGGCTTTCATTCTCTGCTCCACTGTTGGATAATGGTATTATCCTGGTGTAATTTTGGCAGTACTATCGGGCTGTGAAGCTTGGGGAAATGGACAAACAACAGTTTCATGATGTCTTTTTTACCCAGAAAATTTGGTACAAACTGGGTAGGGCAAATTGTATTTGCATAATTCCCTGTGTGGAATTATCTGACCAGGGAAGCTAATGGGGAAGCCGTGATCAGGGAGTAATTTCTGCCACAGACCGAAGTGGTAGGGGCTTAGAAGAAACAAAGCCAGAGCATATGACCTGTTCTGCAGTAGGCTGCCAACAAAACAGGAAATGAAACCCACTGATTACTGAACCATGAAATAATAGCAAATATTTCAGTCTGCAGATAATGTTTCACTTCTACTATGCATGGTCCCACAAGCATCACAGATTTTTAAGCAGATCTGTCTTAAAAATATATTCACCTTTTCCTATAGATACTATCAGGGAGAAATGCCAAACAGCATTTTCAAAAATTAAAGCAGAGCTTTACATAGGTTAAAGAAGTAGAATGCAAAGAATTAACTCTTAATTACTGTTTTCAGAAGAAAGGAAACATATCACTAAGTTCTCCTTTTGGCATCAAAGGTGGATAGCACATGCCAGGCAAAAAAACAACATATACAAAATGACCTGCATTTTTTTGGATCTTTAGGAGAACAACTATTTTATGTATTTGAACTGCATCCTTGCCTGAGAGGAGCTCCTTCACATGGAGCTCTCCTAGGGTTAACAGCAGAAAAACCCTGAGCACTGCCAGGGGCAGATTACAGATATCAGAACAGGAACTTCATTTATTGAACTCCTACTGTCCATCATAACAGATATCCAGATGCTGTCTGCTTTGATGAGATATTGTATTAAAAATGCATTTTTTGAGAGGGGGATGGACTTCCACCTCAACTGGTTTGGGTAAAAGCACTTTTACCTGACTCCTGCTGTACCAAGTCTCATGGACTAATAACAAATACACCATGGATAAGAGAATCAAAAATGCAAGTGCACTTCTTGGTAAGTAACTATGGATAGATAGAACAGATTATAGGAATGGATACACAGTGAAGAGCTGCCTCTGAGAAAGAGCCACAAACAGGCTGAGAGCCTGTGGGTAAAAATCGAAGACTAGACCAACAAGGGACGCCTGGTATTTGGGGTCTACTCGAGCCATCTCCAGGAAGGTCTAGAAAAATGGACTGCACAAAGCAACTAATTTTATCACCAGGGTGGGGAAAACTTATCTATAAAAATATTCCCCCACAAAGGCCAGGCAGTACCTCCAGGATTCTGGACATCCCATCACCAATGCAAGAGCCAGGATTGGTGATTCCTCCCTCCCTCCCTCCTCCCTCCCTCCCTCTGTCCCTCTCTTTCTTTCTCCCTTTCTCCCTCCCTGTGAAGAGGAAACAAAAAGCACAGCTCAATGATGTTATGTCTGTCCAAATCAAACAACTGCAACTATTCAAGTATTCAGTAATGTTCATTACTAAAGTGCTCTAATGCTTTACATGACCACTTTTTAGGTATGTTCCCTTACAACATCACTTACCATCACATTTTTGAGTTTCCTCGTTCTGTTTGTGACCAACAGGACACTTGCACTCATAAGAACCTACTGAATTAATGCAGCGTCCTCCTTGGCAGACTCCAGGGATAGCCTGGCATTCATCAACATCTACAAAGACAAAACCCCAAATGATTACTTGGCATAAGATATATAAGTCACTTTCAGTAACTTCCTGCTGTATTTTATTAAGCGCTACATCCAGTTCAAATTACGTTGGGGTTTTTTTGTTCCCCACCCTCATTTGCTTATACTGTGTGGTGTTCCCAGTTGACATCTGGCAAGAATACAGCACTCTTTTTCAGGAGGATGTTCATTATCTCAAAGCCCTTACAAGGCACTAAAATTCCACCTGAGTTTGTGGATTATAGTCCTTCTTCAGTTTTTATTTCTCCTGGTGTTTGTGCTATAGATAAAGCCTTGTCCATTCACGCACTTTTTCGTTTAAGCAACTATAATTTCCCACAGTCAAGGAAGAAGGCAAGGGTTTTTTGCAATTTTTTTTAATCACTGGACTTGGGTTTAAGTACATTTGCTGGAGTAGTTTGCACTTAGTTCCTGGATCTATGCTGACTTACCACACTATTGTGTCCAAATGCAACAGTTAGACTGTAAATGAATTAAGGACTTCACCAAAGGCATAAACTTTCTATATTTTTTTCTTCTAAATAACTAATGCTTGGTGCTACTTGTTTACTTGGAAAGCAAACATTTCATCTCTAAAGTATTTTAAGGAATGGGGACTGGACTAGATGATTTCCAGAAGTTCCTTCCAACCCTAATTTTTCTGTGATTCTGTGGATCTTGACATGACTTAACAGCATCTAGACAGAAGATGGGTCCATCATTTATAGATACACAGCCCACCCAGCAGCTCCCTTCTGAGTAAAAACATATGGTGTTTGTCTTTTGACCCTTGGGCCTCAAAATGCATTTATCACATAGAGGATACCTGTGCCTCATGTCACTTATTAATGCTTATTTAATTAAGTTTACTGTGCCAGCAGATCGCTGTCAAAAGAAAACCCACTGTGTATCTGACACAGTTTTATAAGTCGAAGACATCAAGAAATAGTAAATTAACAGCGGTAGCAGCAGGCAATGAATACTTTCCAGAAACAGAAAAAGTATCACTGGAGCCTTGAGGTGACCAAAATTTTAAGATCTATTGATTCCATTAATTTCTTTCAATTCTTTTAAAAAAAGACAAATGGATGCTGATCTTTCTAAAATCGAAAAGCCAATCCAAATTATGTATTGCTATGCAGTGCCTCTCCAGTGAAGAAAATAGAAATGGTATCACTATGAAAGGTGAAATTTTTGAATCACAAGCACTCTCTTGCTTTTTTCTGCTAATAGCAATCTTAATGTAATCTTGTATGTTAATTATTCTACATCATATTTAAATGTAAAGATAATAAGCATATTCAGCTTTATTGTTAGCTTAAAAACATATATACACACTGCAAGTCTGATGCCTTTTTTTTTGTTTTTTGTTTTTTTTTTTTTTATTTGGCAGTATCACCTTTTGCTGAAAACACAAGTTTGTTTCAATATATCACTGGTGTTTTGGAAGGGAAAAAAGTCCAAAAGAACAAAAGTATTTTATTAAAAGGGCATGTTTTATCAGTTGCTTCCTAAATGCCGTTTTAAGACATAAGAATATTTTTTCTGAAAATACAACCAATTTGAAATGAAGCATAGTCTTATTTATTTTTTTGTAGCTTTGACAGTCAGGTTAAGTCATACAGGAGTTTTAGAATTATTAATTATCCATTTCCTCACACTTTGAAACCCCCATCACATTAACAGAATAAACTTTTTGTCATAAATAGAAAATTATACTAATAACTCTTTAGATACAGTCCTGCATACGAAGGTTCAATATGCTACAGATTAGGTAGAATGTTTCCATGTGTTCACAGTCTAATACCTGGTAAGTGAAAAAAAAATGGTTTTGTGCTTTTGCAGAGTTTTCTCTGCAAAATGCTTGTGGGATTTGCACAGCAGAGCTGAAAGGCAAATCCTCATCAGAGCATTTTCTCAGGGACCCACAAGCTGTACCCTCATTTTTGAGTGTGAAATGGTGCAAAACAATTTGTCAAAGTAAGTGACATGCTGCTCTCTTCTGATTAAATTTGATCTAGGAGTAGCTGCACTTGCAGTGAAAGAAGAGATGTGAGAAAAACACTAAACGGACTAAAAATGGGGCTTGGCAAGTGGATGGATGAACCCTCTACTGCCTGGCAAATACAGCATCCCACATCAAAGCAAGAGATATGGAGAGCCTGAATAAAAGCAACTTGAATTGCATCTGTGTATTTTAGGGTAATAGTGAAGAGTGGCATATAATGCAAGTAGCAGATTTAAAGCATGCAGGGCACGCTTCTCCTGTAATTAAGCCATGAAACTTCTTGCTGCCCAGTTTTGTGCCACACTGAGCTTTTCAAATATTCAAAAACAATCCAAGCCCCAGAAAGAGAAGTACCGTGGAGAGTTATCAAACACAACCAAATGTTCAGGAAGTGTCTGAGCTGCAAACTGCTGGATGTGCTGCAAAAGTATCACATGCATGCCTTTGTCTGATGCCCTCTCCTAGGTATCTCTCACTGGCAACTACCACTGACTAATTTCTGGCATCTTCAGTGCTCACCTTACTGAAGGATTTCTCCTCTAAGTGCAAAATATGAATGGCAAGTAGATACTAGGTGTTTCTCAGACCTACAAGGTTCAAAAGGTTCAAAAATAAGATATGATCATGCAGAAATATGTACACGTTGAGCCATTTGTCTGATTAGTGTGACTATTTTGATCATAACTTCCTTACTGATTATTTCACACCAAACTGACATGAAACGTTGTTCCAGCTGTAAATCAGCTGAAAATCTGACTGCTTTTCCAAACTATCACAAAAAACCCCAACCAACAAACCACTAACTAAAAAAAAAACCTAAAAAACCAACTAACTGGCATCCTTTAAAATGTAATTTCTTCAAATGCATTGTAAAATACCCCTGGTATAAAACATTTTTAAATGCAGTCAGTTTATGAAGACCACATTTGTTTCTGTACTGAAATATTTTATTCGTACTCCTTTAAACACTCATGAATGATACTAAAATTTAAAATTATACAAATTGTGTCACATTTTAATACCTGTCAAATTCAGTGCATTTTTGTGCATAATGTATGAAACAGGATGATCTACTATTAATGTTTGTAGGCAAACCTCTTCATACCAAAAACAAAAAAAGGGAAGATTTTTGGCAAGTAATGTTGTGAGCCCACAGATGGATTTTGATATGTAATAGAGAAGAAGAGCAGTTTAGTGGGAAAAGGTTTTGAATATTCATGTTAAATACATCATGAAGACTTGATCATTTTTATACAGCTGACAGCATTCATTTTAAGGCTGAATTTTTAATACTGTTCTACTGGTCCTACATGACCATTTCTGACCAGCTCCTGTGATACAACATTTTCCATCACACAGACTCCTATGATTGATTAGGTAACTTAACAAGACACACTTGGCAACTAAAAAGGAAGCGAAGGACAGCTCTAAATGAAAGAAGAAGAAAAAAAGCATGTTTAATGCAGGAATCTAGGCTTAGTAGCTTTTAGCAAAATTCCAGTTTCCACCAGTACTGCTATCATGTCCATTTTAAGCACATTCTCATTTTCCTCCGGCTGGAACAGCAGAAGCAGCTCTTTTCCAAAAGCAAGACTCCAAGGTTTGCACACACACATTTTAATATAATTGATATTACATCAGTTATAAGGAGATAAAATATTTTTATAGTATTGGTATAGCATTATCTGGAGACCATAAAGCTCTTTTTTCTGATATAAAAAGAAGATAATTTCTCTATGAGAGAATTTTACAACCCCTCTCTATGAGAGAAGTTATCCTTTATGTTACATGTTTATATATGCTTGGATGTTTATACACGTTCGTATGTTTGTGTAGTTGTATGTTTATATTTTGTATGTTTATATATGTTTGCATGTTTATATATGACTGTATATACATGTATGTAATGTGTATTTATGCTTCGCTTTACTGTACGCGACACTCAGTGCCCTGGTCTGGCTGACAGAGTGGTGTCTGGTGACAGGCTGGGCTGGATGCCCTTAGAGCTCTCTCCCACCCCAAACGACACCGATTCCCTGGAATACCACATTTTCTCAGGCTGCCACGTGACGAGGGAGCAGCGGCCATTCCTGGGGCAGGTCCTGGCAGCTGCGTGCGAGCCGCACAAACAACTCTCTCTCCGCAGCAGGGAGGGATGGAAGGCAGAAGATGCTGATTTGGGAGCGGCGTCTGGCTCTGTTTTGGCTCGTGGTCCATCCCGGCTCGGTAAGGAGGGAAGAGCACAAAGATCTTGAGCTGATCTGAGACAGCAGCGCTCACGCAGCTGCCAGGACCCACCTGGGGAGTCGCTCTGCGCACGCGTCCCGCTCCCTTCCCCTCCTCCTCCCCCTCTTCTTCCCTGTTTTCCCTCTTTCTCTGTTTTGCCTCCTGTTTTTCCTCACCGCGGCCATGGGGAAGCTGAACGTGGTGATGCTGCGGTATCTGTCCCGGGAGCACTTCAGGGTGCTGACGGCGGTGAGCGGGGCCGGCCGGGCGGGCGGGACCCGCGTGTGGTGTCCGCGCCCTCCCCCACTCCCGAGGCTCCTCGCTGGGGTTCCTGAGGGGCAGGACGTGGTCGGGCCGAAATCTGCTTCGGCCGCCCGGATGGGAGGGAGCGGTGAGGGCAGGGGGCGCTGGGGGGTGCTGAGGTGGTCCCTGGGAGTGCCCAGAGGGTCCCGGGTGGTCCCTGGGGATGCTCAGGGGGTCACTGGGGCTGCCCAGGGGGTCCCGGGTGGTCGCTGGGGGTGCCCAGGGAATGCTTAGGTGGTCACTCGGGATGCCCAAGGGGTCCCTAGTGGTCCCTGGGGATGCCCAGGGGTTCCTGGGTGGTCCCTGGGGATGCTCAGGGTGTCCCTGAGGATGCTCAAGGTGTCTCAGGGGATGCCGAGGGGATCCCTGGGGATGCCTAAGGGGTCCCGGCTCATCCCTGGGGACACTCTGGGGTTGCTCAGGTGGTCAGTCAGGATGATACCCAGGATGTCCCTGGTGGTCACTGTGGATGCCCAAAGGGTAGCTGGGGATGCCCAGGGGATCTCAAGTGGTTGCTGGGGATGCTCAGGGGATCCTTGAGAATGCTCAGCAGATCCCTGGGGATGCTCAAGGGGTCACTAGGGATGCCCAGGGGGTCTTGTGTTGTTGCTCGGGATGCTTAGGGGATGCTCAAGGAGTCGCTGGGGATGTTCAAGGTGTCCCTGTGGATGCCCAGGGAATGCTCAGGTGGTCACTGGGGACGCCTAGATGATCATGGAGGATGCCCAAGGGGTCCTGGGTGTTTGCTGGGGATGCTCAGCAGGTCACTGGGGATGCTCAGGTAGTCCCAGGATTTCCTTGGGGATGCCCAGGGGGTCACACACCCCCAGCAAGGTTACATCATCAGCATCACCAGGCCTCCACTCATGGTGGCTGGGACTAAAATCGAATGAGCCACTCTCATACTCTGGCTGTAACTGAAGAATTCCCCAGGCTGGATTGGCTGACACATTATTTTTGTTTATCTGTTTTTAGGTGGAAATGGGCATGAAGAACCATGAAATAGTTCCTGCCAGCTTGGTTGCTTCCATTGCCAACCTCAAACATGGCGGCTGCAATAAAATTCTGAGGGAGCTGGTGAAGCACAAACTTCTGGCTTATGAACAAACCAAAAGTGAGTTTGGGTTTTGTGTTGGGACTCCCTTTCTCAGTCTGTTCCAAGTGCCTCAGCTGTACATGCACAACAGGTTGGGATGTGTGAGCAGTTTGTGACGCCTTCTCTTGGACTTGCCTGGGGACTGTGGGTTTGTTCAGCACTAAGTGCTGGGTCTACCTACAGAGATGACAGGCAGAGAAGAGATGGACAGCTCACTTTTTTGCTCAGAATAAAATAAAAAGAACCATTTAAAGCAATGTTCAAGTGCATGTAGGAATCAACCCAAGTGAGTTTCATCCTTACAGTTCTGGAACAGACTGCAGAGTCCTTGGACATTTTGCCCCCAGGAACAGCTACTGAAGCAGTTTTTATTCCTTGCCACATGGCAAGTTGTGCAGGCCTTTCCCCATTCCCTTCAGCCTTTTAGTTGCATCTGGCCCTGCAAACATACTGGGGGAGTCTGCAGTACATATCTGTTCCTTTTGTCCCAGTTCTTCAGAGGATTAAGGGTTTCTGTAGTTCATTGCAACAATCCCAGGTCCCTTCTGTGTCACCTATATGTGTATCTTCCCAAATGCTGGCTTTTCCTAGGCTGTTTAAGGTACTGCCATTGCCTCTTTTAGAGACAGGCAGCACTTCTGTCTCTTGCACAGCTGTCAATTTTCGTAAGTTGTGGGAATTGAAACGTCTTTACCTTTCCGTCAAATTGGACTGATAAGGAGCTAAGGGGTGAAATATTACTTGGGTGTAAGCTGAAGCAAGACTAAAATGAGGCTTATTTTAAATGTGATGTATACATAATAAGGAATGAAATGTCTTTTATTTCTACCCAGCTGTCCAGGGTTACCGGTTAACTAATGCAGGATATGATTACCTTGCTCTGAAAACTCTCTCTTCCAGACAAGTCATCACTTCTGTAGGAAACCAGATGGGTGTTGGCAAAGAATCAGGTAAATAAAATAACATTTTTAATAATTTTCTTAAAGCAGATACAGCTTTAATGTTGCAAATATTTTGCTAGAAATTAGGTGAGTTTTCCTCTGGATAGTTGTTGCATCAGTTAATCTGTGAAACACCAAGGTCAGTCGTTCAAATAGTACGTGAGGCTTTTGGCTACATGTGAATATTTCTTAACAAGAATGGTTTTGTCCTTTGCCCATTTTGTTTGGTTCTTAGTTCATCACTTAAAAAGGCGCTTTGCAGGCAGCAGATGCTGCTTGTCTCGTGCTTTGTGAAGAGTTTCAAACCATTTTAGCAAAAACAAAATTTCAGCTTTTTCATCCCACTTAAAAATAAGGCAGTAAAGTAAAATAGGCTCAAAACCATTGGAATACTATCTTGGTTCTTCCTATGTTCATGTAATTTGACACAGGATGTAACTTCTGTAATTGGAGAAGGGGATTATTGGGGGACAAATGCTCAAAATGAAACATAGGCTATTTTAACAGTGTTTAAATTAAGAGTCTGCCCCCTTGGGTTGGTTGTCCACTCAGCAGAGAGGAGTGGCTCCTCCAGAGTGTGATTAAGAACAGCATCTGCCCTGGATTTCCCTCAAGAAGAGCTCTTTGCTGTGCAGATAGTCCAGGAGTGTTAAACCTGAATGTAGGAATCTTAAGCTGAAAGGTTTTTCTCTGAAAAGGTGAACTCTGAAACATGTTCCACATCACATCAGTATTTCTCCTAGTGGAGTAACATGAACTCTTCAACAGTAACTTCTTCATGTTCAGATCTCTGATACACACGCTGTAAATTCAGCTGCCTTTACTGTAGTAGAACATGCCATGCCAGAAGTGGTGAGAAGTAACAAAGTTACTGTGGCTTGTTAGATATCATTTGTTCCTTAGATCGTGCCCTTGTGTGTCTTCTAGACATTTATATTGTTGCAAACGAAGAGGGGCAACAGTTTGCACTGAAATTACACCGCCTTGGAAGAACCTCATTCCGCAGTTTGAAGAATAAACGTGACTACCACAAGCACAGACACAAAATGTCATGGCTGTATTTATCTAGGATAGCGGCAATGAAGGAGTTTGCCTACATGAAGGTAGGTGGCCACTCATAGTGTCAGCAGTTGTGTAACAGACGGGAAGGTGCCTTTCAGACTGCCTTTTGATCAGCCTATGTTTTCAGGACTGGTAGGATTTAGGCTTTATTTTTTTCTTTCCCCTGATGGACTTAAAGTAAACATTTCAAAGACTTTCAGTACTATATGTTCTGTACAATTTCCGTACGCTTTGCCATGGAAGTCACATGGAACAGAAGCACAGTGTCAATGAATTTGAGTTTGACATTGTTATTTATGGATAGATAATCTGTGTTTCACCAGCTCTGCAGTTTTTCCTTTAAAATTCATTGCATAAGCTTGCAAACAGCTGAAATTTCTTAAAATTCTTTTATCTTTTAATCTACTGTTTTTTCAGCTGTGCTGTGCTATTGAGGGAAGTCTTTTAGTCCAGACTAGTGTTTTGATCTGAAAAGGCACACTTTGTCCTTCACTGTGGGGAAAGATTTAATTTCCAAGAATATATTGCCACTCTCAGAGTTATGGATTTTTTGACCTGCTGAAAAAACCACAGATAGTGTACAGTGATTGAAATATAATAGTGGAAAACTATTTATAAAAAACTAGTTTTCCTTTCTTTTTTTGTGCTGTTCAAGAGTGGTATACATATTAAATATAATTTTCTGTTTTCTCCCAAAAAATCCTGTGATAGGCTCTACCAGTGGCCTCCACAGAGGGAGAAAGAACTAATACCCTCATTAGGACCTCTTTTTTGGTTTAGGTGGTCCAACAGGTAAAGCATTATGTGGTCAGAACTTGTGGGAATTGTGGGGGTCACGTTTCTCTGAACAGAGGGTTGGGGGGTGGATTAATTGTGTGCTGAAAAGCAGTAATAGTGTAACGCTTAAATAACAAAAGGCGTATTTATATTACTTTAACTTGGGACTCTGTCTTAGAAAAAAATTCACTGGTAACAACAGAATGAGTAAAAAGAGAATGAACCCGTAAAAAAGTTGAGTGGATCAAGTGAATGGATAAATGTCCATTAGAAAAGGCAAACAGGAGAGCTTCAAAATATTATGACTGACCTTTGGTTAATCTTCAATGTGGTGTAATGCTCATTATTAATACTTAAAAATGAACTTAGATGTCAATGTGTGATGTTTCGTTAACTATTTAATTTTAATTTTTTGTCGTGTTGCCTCTCTCCAGGCTTTGCATGACAGAAATTTTCCTGTTCCAAGGCCCATAGACTACAACAGGCATGCAGTTGTTATGGAACTTGTTGACGGCTATCCTTTGTAAGTAGTGAGGGTTTAATTTGCTGTGTTACAGAGACTCTAACAATGCTAAGTTAAGAAAGGTAACAGGGTTAGGGTTTTTCCTTGTCTTGTGAATGAATTCTGACTTCACCATGCTGAATAATGCTCTCCAGCTCATGCTCACTAGTATTCTATTTGATAGGGTTTTGCTTCTCTTATATTTTTATTCAGAGAGATGGTTTTTTCCTTAGTCCAAGTAAGGAATTTATTCCTTAATTACTTAACTTCTGATGAGAGCATAAGATTACCTAAAACAGGAGAGACATAA